GCATCCTCGGTCGTTACATTGATTTACACCTGGAGGTGAACGCACACCCACACACGTGCACACAGCCGAGGTTAAGAACCAGCGATAGAAGATCGGCTGTCGCGATTTTTCGCCGACTTAACGATCGCAAAGGGTTAGCTGGCCTGGCGAAATGAATATCTCGCGTCGGCGATGCCGATGGCGGCTGACAAACTGTGATGTATACACAGCTTCGCGCAACGCAAGCTGGGCGGATATTCGTTCGGGTGATTGAATCGCCGATCATTCATAACTGCCACATAAACGTATCGAAGGAGCGAACGGCCGCGATCTCGCGGGACTCGTGCCGCGAGCCTCGCGCTATCGGTTCCATTTATCGAACGGCGAGCCACGATTCGCCATGATAAATGGAGATCCGATAAACGTCAAGCCGCTTTACGCCGCAATAAAGTACACGTAAAGCCGCATAAAAGTGCGCTGTGGACGTTGCACTTGTGCAACCACGACCTTGAAGCTACTTACGCCGCACGATCGCCGAATATCGCAGTGCCTGCGTTCGGATCGCGACCGTCTTGTTTTGGTCCTCGCTTATTCTTCGCCGATTTTGTCTTTCCACACGCGCAGTCACTTTGCCACTCTCATCCGCGCTTGGATTCATGAAACGAGAATTATGCGCGCGTGTCTCACGTACAAATTGTAAAATTAACGCGGCGCTTCATTAGCATCTTGAGTCAGCGTATGAACGATCTAATGATCTTAATGAAAGTGACCTTCTCAAAAAGTCTTAAAAAGGCCTGAAGGCAATATATGGATGTGATCGCGATGAATCGGGGGAAAGTTACGTTACACAATGAAAGATGATTCGCGTTTAAGAATTGCCTCAAACTGGAAAAAAATTATGAATTGTCGGACAAAGCTCGATCTGTATGAAGAAGTAATTTTCTCTAAGAAGTTTGAAATTTTTTCAATGACTTTGAAACACGTGTGAAAAAATACATATTTTTAATATATTATGGGATGGGAACGATCGGTTTTTGAAGGAACAATTTAAAGGAAAAGCATGTATGACAGATCCTTAATGATTTTCTTTCGCTTTCTCGAACACGATACGCGCGCCTGTTTCTCTTTCTTCCTCCTTTTTTTCAAAATTTCTAGCTTAAATTATAAATTGCATGTTATGCCACAAAATTACTTCATTTTGCTATAATTATATATTTTTTATTTATCTGTTTAAATCAATAAAAAGAAGCTTTAACGAAAAATTTTAAGAAATAACTTAATTATTTTACTTCTTATTGCTAAAATGATTTTCTTATTATTTTCGTTTTTATTCTTATTATATTTTTTATTCCTTTCCTTTCTCATTTCATTTCTTTTTTCTTGTATATTTTTGTATAAGCTATAAGTAGACCCTTTTTATTGAGTAATATAGCATTTTAATTGTATCATTTATAAGACCTGTATTGTGCATGACTTGGATATATTCATATTGAAATCAACACTTATATATGATAGCTATAAACAAAAAGTTTCATAAGATATATTTTGTAATTTGATGATATATAAAATATATGCAACAAAATATCAGAAAACTAAAATGTTTATATTTATTTTCGAGAGAGAGAGAGAGAAAGGATGCAACTTAAATTATTTGTTATTTTTAATGCCAATATGGGAAAAAGATTTTATCTCAGGTGATAATTGTTGTGAAACGTATAGTATATACGTATAGTATATAGTAGATAGTACTCTATGAGCATCTATAAAAAGTGCAAAAAGATGAAATATTTGTTGAGCTTTTGAATAGTGATGGGCAGTTGTAGCCGTATTGATTGCGTTATATTATTTGTCATCATTTGTAGAGAAACTGTTGCATAAATAAATTTATTGAATTTATTTATGGTTGAACAAAACAGAATTTGCGATTCTTATGACAGATTTATTTTTTATCTTTTAAATTTCCTATAATTTCTTGAAGTTTTTCTTTGGTTAAAACAAATGTTTATATCTTTGAGAAAAATTCTTATCATGTACTGTCATTGCTATCGTCTTTTGCATTCTTTAATATGTGTTTTTCAATTTATTTTTGGAAAGCTTCGCTTATAGGATTGAAATAAACGCTTTCTCTCTTTCTTTCTCTCTCTCTCTATTTATCTACCTATCTATCTATCTATCTCTCTCTTCTTTTTGACAGCCGCAATGCGATTATCGCGTCAGGAATAATTCGGGTCGTGAAACCCATTGGACGTTTCTGCGCCGACGGAGACACCGTTATAACATTTACTCGCGCGAACGGCCGCGCGCGACCTGAATTATTTTCGCTGCAACGCGGCCATTGTTCCGAATGGACTTTCGAACGTATGCACATGCGATCTTATTGATCATTTATTGCACGTACGTAGTCAGCACGCATGGTGAGCATCGCGGACGATAAAGCCGATGTAAAACGGTACATTTTAGCAGCTCAATACGGGAATATACAGCCTTACACGTTAATCTGCATAATTATACAATTATAGAAACTATATTATATAGCTATACTGAAAAACAATTGGTGAAAATAGTTAAGTTTCTGGGTAACTCAAATTTTGTTGTCTAAACTGTATAATATCAAGATTGAATAAAATTCACGTCGAATCAACAACTTGATGTAGAAATTTGAACTACAAAATTTTCACGTAATATAACATCTAAAATCGGGATAAAGGACTGAAGGAAATAGGAAAGATGCGAATCGTTCTGGTCATGTCAGTAATATTTATTGTAAGAAATACAAAAAGAGAATCGCAACAAAAGTCAGAGAAACAAAAAATTGGATGAAAATTAAAAGAAATGCGTCAGCGTTGCTTTTGACGTAAATCATCAATTTCAAAGAGCGCGGTAAACAAAATGTATGGCAGTGAAATTTGTCAAGATCATTCCGAAGTTTTATCATAGAGAGAGAAAGATAGAAAGAGAGAGGGAGAGAGAGAGGGAAAGGAGAGAGAGAGAGAGAGATGTAGCGAAGAAAGTTCTCGTCTAATTGCTACATCATAATGAAGCTATGCGAGATTCTGGGAATTAATCGAGTTGTGTGCGAATTGCGCGCACTCGGCCGCTAAGGGTTTTTGCCGGCAAAAAAAATTTTCTAAATCGCTGTCTTAATTACCAACAAGATAATTAGCCAGTGCTCTCAAGACGCGCTCGTTCGATCGATCGATGCACTCATTGAACGCAACTTCCCAATACGGTACGCGAAAGCGGCCCATGTGCGAAAACATCAGACGCCAGTTACTCGCTTTCGTGCCGAGACTTCCAGTCAAATATTGACATTGGCGGTAGGTGTCACACATTCTTTGAAGCTACTGACCATTCGCAAGAACACACAAAGGCCGACGAACGGACGACGGGTTTATTTGCCTTGGTTATTCTTTACGCCTCCGAGCGATTTAGTAGCAATTAGCGTGCTCCATTATTGTGTTCTTACGTTCTCCGCGTGTCGATTGTTAGAACGACGTTAGTATTGTTGTCGTCAATTCGTGCTTTCGTTTTCAGTAGAGCTCTAGATTTACAAAGGAACGACATTCAGATTCGACATATCGCTAATTTAGGTGCATAATGATATGTAAAGCTAATCTCAATAACTCTAAGTTGGATTACTCATGATTAACTTGGATTAGCTTGACATTATAACTCTACGTAGAGAAATGTATTTCATTAAGTCATCGTACACCAAACATATTTAATAAAAATCTTACAACTCACTGGAATATCACATGCTTATTAGCCGCATATTATGGACACAATATGGTTATACTTTGTGATTCAAGTTGCTAAAATAACGAAACTTTTCAATGTCACTTCTTTGTAAATTTAGAATGTTAAGTATTTAATCCATGAAACATTTTATCTTACTATATATTAGTTACTTCTGGATTATTAGTATGTTGATTTCCATTAATGTCTTAATCCAGACGCTATGACATTTTATTGCTCTCTCTTAAAGTAAATTAGTGAATAGTCATTGATATCAGTTATAAGTATAGCACTGAACACTTTCAGTGCTATACTTATAACTGTAAATCAGTGTATATTTATTGTTTTCAGTGATGTTTGACTGATTCATTTTAAGAGAGTATATCTCAATTATAATTTATATTATAATTATAATAATATAAAACATATATATATATAATTAATTAATTAATAATTATTAATTAAAATTAAAATATTATAATTAATTACTTATATAGTCAATAGCAAACCAATGAAACGATCTGACAGATATATACATCGCAAGTTGCCTTTGTTTACTGTGTCTGATAAATCAAACTTTAGTTGATTGAAAATAATCAATGAAAATTAGCGTAGCGAAAATCTTTAACATATGTTAAAGATTTTCAAAGATTATTAAAAATATACGCAAAGATTATAAAATTTCTCGGCATCTAATTGAGATTTAACTCGATTTCCTGAAATAATTCTTAAAAATAATTGTTAAAAGCTGGTCAAAAATATAATTTTTTAAATACACATGTAATATTCTAAATAGAAAATCCAAAGTTTTCCCAATATTTTTTCTGATCTTCATTAGAATTGAACAGAACATAAGTTGGCTTTCCTAATAATTTCATTATTTAGTAAAATACTCAAAGTGTTTAAATATTTTCTTTATTTTTTATTCTATTGAATACATATACACACACATATTACTTATAGTATAAAAATTGAATTCTTCTTTATTTTGATATCATAAAAGTATACGAATGTTACTGATTGAGAAAGAAGCATCAATTGTCATGATATATCTGTTTCAATTCTGAATAGAGAACTCATGTTTAAGTTAAAGATATGATTTCTACTTGGTATTGATATTGTGGTGGAATAACACATTTTTTAGAGCAAATTTGGGTATTCTAACCACAGTTTAACTTAATCTGGGAAAATCTTGCGAAATTTATAATGTATAAGTAATTTTTTTAATTTGTCTCATGCAATTTCTGTGAGAGAGTTTTCACTTGTGGCTATCTTTTGGATTTCAGGCTGAAGAAATCGATCAGATCGTAGCCATGAACCTCGCGCTGCATGGATTTTTGCTGCAGGGTAAGTCGCTTGATCCTTCAATTACCTCCAAGTTTATTCCGCACAAGATGCCTGTCAAAGTTAATGAACGACACTATAATTTTACGACGCGTCTGCGAGTGTGGTACGTCTCGCGCAGAAAAGACGCAGTTCGTCCCAATTCCGTGACTCACTGCCGTATTCGTATGCAGGCGACATTTTTCCCGGTCATCCTCCCGGCAGGATGCATAAAATTCGCGTTACAACGATAAAATCAGTCTCCGGCGTTTCCGAGCGTTTTAACTCGCGCGATCGGAACGTCCTCGAGAAGCGCCGCGGGGAACGCCTCGTCCCGCCTCTCCCAGCTCGTCAAACGTAGTTCAGCTCGGCCGCGCTCGCTCGTTAACTAGGTTTTCGTGCCGAGACCAAGGTGTTTCCTACGTGGACGTAAACAAGCGCGTGGCGATCGAGTACGCGCGTTGCGTACGATTCAGGAATCGCGAATGAATCGCTGACGCGAGGGGCGAGCGCGGCACGCCGCGCCAGGAGAATCGCGAATGAGTATTGTATCGCGCAATCGTCGCGTCGTATCGCGTGAAGGAGGATGCAACAAAGGAGAAACGTGGATATCCGATATATGAAAAAGTAGATATACGATATTTATTGATCGACAGATATGTGCATAAAAAATCTTTTTGAGATAATTAGATACAATCTAATTTAAGGTGATCAGATTTCCAGCCCTGAATTTGGAACTTCATAAATGTGTGAAGCGGGGAGGCGAGGGGAGGGGGATAAAAAGATTTGAAAATTATTTGACAATTATTGAAAAAGATGACAAATCGATGTTCCGAATAGCACTCGAAAAAATTCGGGACAAAGGGTGAAAAGTCGGGATGTCTGGTCACCTTAGCTGTATGTGTCGAGAAGGGAGGAGATTATTCCGTAATAATGTACTTACGATATGTCCTGACCATCGTCGTTGTTTTCGGCACTCTAATACTTATTTCCGCAGGAGACTCACAGAACAAGCGAAAGACGTATGGAATACGGAGCGTTGTGTCCATGGCAATTGCTCGGCATGAAAAGATCATAGACGCGCGCGCTGTCAATCACGTACACTAAAAGTTCATTAGCGCGCCGAAAGTGTTGAAAGTGTGTCATAAATGTGTGAATCGGGGGGAAGGAGGTAAAAAGATTCGAAAATTATCTGACAATCATTGAAAATGATGACAAATCGGTGTCCTGAATAGCACTCGAAAAAATTCGGAACAAAGGGTGAAAAATTCGGGACTGTCCCGAAAGAATTAGAACGTTTGGTCACATTATCTAATTCCTCACACACACAAAAATATATAATCTCATTTTTAGCGGAATTCTTTTTTTAAATAAAAAAAACTCTGAATACAATATTCTTAAAGTCAGAAAGGATTTTCATTTCTTATCAACAAGTCTTGCTTGTCGCGTTATTAGAATAGTTTCTTTTTGGTTTAAAAAAAATTCTCTTAAAACCATATATCAGAGGATTCCGCTCAGAATAAGACCATATTTTTTAGAGGAGGAGGGGGGGAGTGCGGATTTTATTAAGAATGAGGTTATATATTTTTCGATACAAAATAATTATAAGTTCTAGTTAGAAGTATAATGTTTCAAACATGCATGCGATTCTAGTAGGAAACTAAAAATTTTCCTAATATTTTTCTTGATCTATCAGAATTGAATAACACATATATAATAATAAAACACATATATCTTAACTTTTCAAATAATTTCATTGTACTCGAAGAATATTTGTTTTAAGAAAAGTACTTATTTTACATATATTTTATTTGTTTAATTTTTACTTTATTGGGCACACACACATACATACATACACACACACACAGGCGCGCACAAATAATTTGTATAAAAATCGAATTTTTTGTATAAAATTCGAATTTAATACTATAACAAACGACGCTAAAATATACAATATACTGACGTTATCGAGTAGAAACTTTTTGCTATGGCATTTTTGTTTCGATTTACGATAGACAGAGAATCTATGTTTAGGATAAGAATAGAATTTCTAATTATGGCATTAATATTGTAATGGAGTAATCAATTTTGGGGCAAATTTGGGTATTCTAATCGGGAAATATATGCTATATTTGACAAAATCTTGAGGAAATTCTATGTAGGTGATTCGCTTCGCACAATTGTCATGTACAAGAAGATTCATATCAAAGTATATCTAATATATGAGAGAAAAGTAAATACTTAAAATTCGTAGATCAAGAAAGAATATAAAATTTGTTTTTAACACATTTGTTATCAACGTTATAAACAAACATATCAACTATGTAAACAAACTAATTCTATATATAAATTAATTTTATTACATAAACTATAAATTAATTTTATTACATAAACTATTATATACACAATTACATAAAAGAAATAAAAAAAACATACGAGATGATTTGTGGAGAGAGTTTGCTAGATGAACTCTGATCGCGAAGGTGTTAATAAAGACAAGAGAAAAAGAAAGAGAAATATAAAAATTGGTGAAAAGAGAGGGAAGCGTGCGAAGTGTAAAACACTCTAAGATGTCATTGATATGCGAACCACAAACTTCGCGATTTTATTCTCATCGCTGCGCACGGGATAAAAGTGCAACGTCGCAGTGCTGCAAGATGTAATATAAACGCCGGTTTATCGCTTGAAGTATAGTCTTTCGTACGTGACGGTAAATAATCACGCTCAAATAGCGCGCAATACCAGTCATAACAGAATATTACGTTAGCATAAAACATTACGTTAAATAACAGCTCAAACGTATAAATATGTGAGGGGAACGTGGAGAAGAACAGCGCGTCGCAATAATCGATATCGAACCCGCAGCGTCAGAAGACGAAGAATGCAACGACGCTACGGGCATTTTGCGGAAATCACATTATAACCGCTTTCGCCGGACCATCGACCGCGACAACGAGGTATAAAATATAAATCTCGATTTTTCACACGTCGCTTGTATCATATCAGCTACATGGTAGCCAGGCAAAGCGTACATTACACATCGTCGTGAAGCGTTTCGCAAACAATGAATAAAATTAATAAGAGGACACAGAATGGAACGATAAATTGTGAAAATTTAACCGAGCTCTGCGTGTATATGCGCGTTTATATCATTATTTTCAGCTCGTTACTTTGTAAACTGTATTCTTGGAGTAAAATCAAAATGAAGAACGACGACTGATAAAAATATTGGAAGGTAGATTCTCATCACGTTACACAATCTGGAAAACTATTCAGTACGTGTATTAACACTACCAAGTATTATTTTATTCTCTTATAATTAAAATAGTTCTAACATCAGCGTTTGGTTCTTACTTGAATAAAAATATCGGGAAGAGGATTTACCTTTTATCGACCTTAGTCTTTACACATACACTGAGAAGAAATTTACTAAATTTCAAGAAACGTTTGTTTGGATATTGTACTGTGAAGATATTTGTTTAAATTAAGTAATTATTTTCTAAAATTAAATAAAAAAGTTTTAAATATAAATTTGTTTCTTTAATTTTAGGAAGTACTTAATTTAAACAAATATCTTCACAGTACTATCCAAACAAACATTTTTTGAAATTTAGTAAATTTTTTTCTCAGTGTATTATAAAAGTCATCTTCCTAAGTACCTTTCAACAGATTTTAGCCGTTGTTCATTATTTATTAAAAAGTTATTATAAAAACAATTTTGATAAATAGAATATAATTTTTCGACATCATGTACATTTAAAAAGTTAACATATAAGTAACAAGTCAACATGTCAACATGCAAGTCAACATGTAAAGTAATGGTTGAATTCGTTATTGTTACCGTTACAAACAAAAAATGAGTAATAATCGTTATCGAAAAGAAAATAACAGTAACGGTAGTTGCGTTACAAGTAACGCATTACTTCCCAATTCTGGAAATAATACAAAATAATGCAGAACTCACACGAATGGAAAGTTACTCGCGAACTCAAGTTACTCGGCTCTCACACTATTTTTTCAGTAAAATTTCTCTCGAAAAAATTTAAATAATAAATGTTATTTTCCATGTAAAAGAAAAATTATTCGAATACTTTCACACTTGCAAATAAAATATCTCTTTTTCAATAACTTATTAGTTGCATACGACTATTTTGCATACTACAAATTTGTTGCATACGACTATTTTCAATGATTATACGATTTTGCTAATTTCAATTTTGATATCTCCAATAATTACACGCTTCTTTAGTCTTATCGCACTTTGTTAGAGAAACGTGGCTGGCTATTTAATGTTCAAACGGTGTAATAAGATCGTGCATATACGCAATATCCACGTTAGATAAAGCAGAAGATAAAATCAAGCGCCCACATTTCGCGCTAAATACGGCACGCGAATGCGCGTCGTAATAATAATCGAGACAACTCGGCGGGATGACGCACCGAATATATATTCGCGAATCTACATGTTCCGTATAAAAGCACCGTCCATTGAATACGACGAGCGGAATGCGGCCTCGTGGGATATCCACATGGGGAATCGTATGCATCGCGGTCGAAACACGTGGGATGGCCACTCGTTTGCGCGTTTTATTGTAGCCCCCCTGTCTATGCACGTAGGAAACTTTTTGTTGGCGGTTTACGAGCTTTTATCCTCCAAGGCCGACTCGGCAGACTTGAAAAAGACGCGCGCGTCTGTTGATATGCGATTTCGTCGATAAATCAATCTTAACTATGAATTACACATAAAAGAAAAGAGAAAAGAATGAAAGAAAGAAGGGCATTTATTGGAAGGGCAGGCTAACCGCCATGACGTATTCAGAAAAAGATTAAATATTACTGCGCATATAAAATATAAAATATTACTTTAAGTAATTGTATTCAAGATATTACTACGGATAGAGTGTGCACTGGTAATAGTTATCTTTAACCAGCTCTACCTATTGAGAGTAGATAAGTCGATTAAAGGAGCTTGTAAACCTCCTTTAATCGACTTATCTGCTCCATCGTTATTCCCGACAAATCCT